GGGGGGGGGTGCGGACCGCACCAAGTGACACCCTAAGGAGGGGTGACAACACTGCTCCTCAAACACCTACCTTTTGGCAGAAACAGGCTATGGCGTTCACCTGTATTCCTTTAAAATCCTTTAAGAGAAGGTGGGAGTGGCGTGAATCTCAGTGGGAGGAGAAAGGAGCGGCTCCAGAATTTTTTAAAATTAAAATTTCAAATTTCAAAATTTTAATTTTTTTGAAAAAAAATCTTTTAAAGTTTTCTTGAAAAACATCACATTTTCACTATGTATATGTACATACATTTAGGTTGTGCATATGATGTTGCAATTTGAAGGTATAATTTTAATTTTGCTAGCTGTTTTATCTCACAACTATTAGCCTTGCATTCAGTGGTATATGGGAATTACAATTTACAAGTAACATTAATGCAAAAAAGCATTACTAAGGCTTCTGTATGGTGCAAAATGGGAGGAGATCAAAGGGGGGGTGACACCATGTGTTATCGCGCCAGGTGACACCAACCCTAAGGACTCTACTGATACCGCTTTCAGAGCCTATATGGAAGCCTTCACCGCAGCTCTTATCAATCATGCAGCATCACACTCTCTTCCTGACTCCCCCTTAACCTCACCTCCTTGCCGTATGCCCTACCCAGCATGCCTTTCCGTTATTATATTTATTATTTTATTTTATTCTATTTTTTACTCAGTTCCAGAGCTCTGCTACTGTGAGTTATTGTTAGTTTAAGTTTTAAAAAACAAAGAAGGAAATTAGATTGTGAAGTCGTAGGCTTTCATGGCCGGCATCCATAGTCTTTGTGGGTTTTTCGGACTGTGTGGCCATGTTCCAGAAGAGTTCCTTTCTGACGTTTCGCCACCATCTGTGGCTTGCATCTTCAGAGAATGTTGGCGAAACGTCAGAAAGGAACTCTTCTAGAACATGGCCATACAGCCCGAAAAACCCACAAAAAAGATGGAAATTAGATTACTTGGGAACAGAGAGAGGGAGAGCAGAAGGAGCAAGGACAGGACACTGGGAACCCCGTGACTGCCAACTGCACAACTCCCCTGGCAATGATGTTTCGCACCTGGGGACTTGCATAATTGTGAGGTCATTGACGGGTTTTCCCCATCAATGAAAAGAAACAGACTGGGGACAGAGCAGCTACGGGTTGGAGGTGGTGGCATGCAATAAGTCTCACCAAAACCGCTTTTTCCCCTGTTGTAATCATAGTATAAAAGCCGTGTGTAGAAATCTCCCTAGATAAACATCAGAGATGGAGGATACTGTGGTGCCGCTGGTAAAGTTTCCACAGATGTCGTAGGTGTAATGGTGGGGAGACACAACAAGGCAGGCTGATGAATTTCATTTGGAGAGCTGAACTTTACTACTCCTCGCAATTAACAGCTTAGGGGTATGCGGAGTGAAAAACAGCTCCCCTCAAGTGCCAGGATTTTACTCTTTTGTTTCCTTTCAAATACCGTGAATATCTTTAGTACATTAAAAATAGCCTGGACTAAGCTTCATTTGGAATGTGTAAACATGTCTGCAATTCTGGAGAAAAGAACAAAATTTGCAAGCATCATTTGCAAAAGCAAACGTGACGCACAGCACCATTATTGTGGTAACATCTGAGGGCATAAACTGGCCAACATGGGATTTTACAAAATTAGGAGATGGCTAATATTACTATTAGAATCTGCTGAGATTTATAAATGTTCCAGACAAATATTACAAAAATAAAACTGTACTATGTAAGAGTACTTGAAATTAAGCTGAAATATCTAGATGTAGGTCTGTCTCTCATATGTACTTAATATAGCACAAGTGGAACACACTGTGGTAGATGCATTTTTGTAATATGGAGGGAAATCTCCGGGGGAACGAGAACAGAGTTTATAATACCCTCAAGGTGTCAGTATAAATGAAGGAAGGGAATTAGTCACAGTCTCAGAAGATACAAGGCTATGAGAGCACTACCAGGGACGAGGCTAAAGAAATAAAATGAGGTTAGAGATTCTAAGAAAGTAAAAGTATCGTAAGTCAGGAAGGCATTTTCTCCAAGAGATGGCATGGGGAGGGGGTTTGGATTTCAGAAATGTGTGCAAATGTAAATCCCTGGAAAGTAGGTTTGATTGGATTGTAGGGAGACCTAAGAAACCTAATCCTGGAGTAGAGTTTATTGCAAATCAGGATTTTGACAAGGGCCGAAAGAGAGAGCCAGTGTGGGATAGAGGTTTGAGTGCTGGATTAGGATTCTGGTAGACCATGGTTCAAATCCCTGTTCGGCCATGGAAACCTCAGTAGCCTTCCATGGCCGAAAAGGGATTTCACTCATGGTTTACCTGGATGGGTGACCTTGAGCAAGTCACACTCTCTCAGACTCAGAGGAAGGCAATGGCAAAAAAAAAAAACAACCTGTGAACAAACCTTGCTAATAAACATCTGTGATAGGTTCACTTTAGTTTAGATCATAAAATTGGAAGAGACCACAAGGGCCATCCAGTCCAACCCCCTGCCATGCAGGAAAACACAATCCAAGCATTCCCTATGTGCTTCAGATCTGGCAAGGACAGTCCCCATTAATCCTCTGTTACCCCCCCCCTTTTTTCCCCCAGATCTTTTAAAAATGTCCCAGTTTCTCTCCTCCCACTTTCCCCTTTCATCCTTAGCTTACTTCAATTGCTGTACACTGAGTTCAAGGTGCAAAAGTTGTTCACACTCCATTAATTGAACAGGGAGGAAGAAATGTAGGAAAGCAGGATCACTGGAGCATGTGTGAGTGCTTTTGCCTCAGAGTTCTCAGCTTTGGGGATAAGATAATAAGCTGGCTGAATCAAATGGTCAAACAAAAGATTTGTTTTAATGAAATTTTATCCATCCTGTCTGTGTTTGATGGTGGCAATTGTGATAATGATCTGCAACTGTCTGTGCTCATAGAAAACTGCAAGGACTTTAACACTCTTAAGTTTTTGTTGTGTGCCTTCAAGCCATTTCTGACTTATGGCAACCCTAAAGTGAACCTATTATGGGGTTTTCTTGGCATGATTTGTTCAGAGAAATTTTGCCATTGCCTTCCCCTGAGGCTGAGAGCATGTGACTTGCCCAAGGTCACTCAGTGGGTTTCATGGCCAAGCTGGGAATTGAACCCTAGTCTCCAGAATCACAGACCAACACTGACACAACTACGACATGCTTAAGAGTACTTGAACACTTAAGATACTGGCAGGGCAAAATATGGTGGCCAGCACTGAGAAATTAACCTTCCAAGCCTATTTGGCAGGGGGTGAAATAAAAAAAGATTGAATCTCTTCCCTTTATTCTAGTGTCTGCCATAACATGCAGACACTAAACAATTGAGTGTTGTCATGTACTGGCTAACTGCAGTTCAGAAACACAAGCCTCAGCAAAGTCAGAAAGCTTTATTCAAAAAACTGAGTTGATCACTGCACAACAATGTTGTCAGGACTGAAGCATTTTTGGTTACACAGCATATTAAAAGCACTTGCCAATTCAGACATTTTCACAGACAAACTCAATTTGATAACAAAACAAACTATTCCTTTCCCCAGGACTAGAAAGCCAGTGTGGGGTAGTGGTTTGAGCATTGGATTATGACTCTGGAGACCAGGGTTCAAATCCTGGCTCAGCCATGTAAACCCACTGGGCGACCCAGAACAAGTCACACTTCCACAGCCTCAGAGGATGGCAATGGCAACCCTTCCCCGAATAAACTTACCAAGAAAACCCCATGATAGGTTCTTTAGGGTTGCCATAAGTTGGAAAATACTTGAAGGCACACAACAACAACAACAACAACAACAACAACAACAACAACAACAACACCTCTCCCATTGTTCTGTACCAAGCATTCCCATAGAACTGACCTTGATGCTCACATTTCCTCCCCTCTATATCTGTTTATTACCCAGCCCCAAGGCAGATAAACAAGTATACAAAGCATATATTGAATATAATACATTAACAAGCATGGCAGGAGCTATGATCCTGACAATTACGATAACAGAAATAGTATATACATAAAAGGAAGGGACAAGTTCGTTGCTCTTTGTTACTCTGTTGCATGTATGTTTGCTTATTCATAATAAAATACATTTTTAATAAAGAAAAGGAAATGAAGACATGGAACTTGCAACTGGCTTCCCAGTCAGCTAAGGCAAAAGCAAACTGTTACATCCTCTTCTAATCTGTCTGTTCTTCCACATCAATAACTTTTGCCATCTTCACTGCACTCTAACATTGCTTGGGCACATGGGTCCTGATTTTCATCTGTGAACTGTTGGAGAGTATGTCACTTATGAGCAACCTGTCTTAAATGTAAGACATTTAGCTCTCCTGTTTCTATTTCCTGGCTTCTGCCTCTCTTTTGACCTGCCATGGGTTTCTGACACAGCCCTCCAACCTTAATGCTTAATGCTTTGTATTGCTTCTAATTTGTACTGTTTTAAATTTTGTCAGCTGGCTTGAATCCCTATACTGGGGAAAAGGTGGGATATAAATAAATAATAAAAAACAACAAGCTTTCGTTGTTGTCAGAGGAGCCGTATGATCAACCTTATAGAGAACAATGTTCTCTATAAAATCCAAGTCCAGTGCAAAGCTAAAAATCCCACAAGAGATCAGAGCAGTGGTGTTCCCCAACCAGGTGACACCCGGTGCGGGGGGCAAGATTTCTGGGGGGTAGGACTTCCAGTGACGGGATGCACGGGACCACGTGTGCCGCACAGGAGTGTGCACAGTGGGAGTGCACACACCGCATGCACGAGCACACCATATGGGAGAGTACATGCGGGGGCCGGAGAGGCACGTGAGGAACACCTGCATGGCCCCAGGAAGCAGGCATGGCTCTGGAAAGGCCCTGCGGGAGGCGGTGGACCGATCAGGTGTCACTCCTTCTTCTGGGGCAGGGGTAGGCAACCTAAGGCCCGGGGGGCTGGATGTGGCCCCCTGAGGCCGTTGGACCGGCCCCAGTCCGGTCCTGCCGCCCTCGCCGCCCCCTCCACCGCTGCCGCCCACCATGTTGATATTGATTATTGTTGTTATTACTTGTTGGTTTTCTTGGCAAAATCTCCACAGGGGGGTTGCCATGGCTTTTCTGGGGCTGAGAGAGTGTGCATGCATTTTTTAAATATTTATTTATTTATTTATTTATTTTTGGTGCTTCGGCCCCCCCCCCAATTGTCTGAGGGACAGCATCCCGGCCCCCGGCTCAAAAAGGTTGCCTATCCCTGTTCTGAGTTGTCAACACCCTTCTGGGGTGTCACCTGGTGCAGCCTGCACCCCCGCACCGCCCCCCCCGTGACGCTACTGGATCAGGGACCACACATCTGGAGGGCCCAGAACAGTGATGGCTAATCCAGGGTATATACAACATAACATCATATGGGAAAATCATTCCTGTTCCATGGGAACTTCCCCTCCCTCTCTCCCTCTATGAGGTTTGGAAATGCCAAGATTCTCTTGCAAAGTGGTTTGCTTTTTGTTGCAGCTCCCAGCAGATTGCAAAGAGCAGATGATTCACATTTGATGACATGCCAGGAGCTGCCTCATCTACCGGTAAACTTCCAGAGAAAGAAGAAATCTGCCTAGCTCAACCATCAGTGACCTAGAAAACAAAGCCGAGATCCCTGTGGGGGTAGGGTGGGGTGGAAGGGGAAAAACGACTGCAAAAATCCTACTTCTCCACTGTTGGCTAGTTTTCTCTCAGTTTCTAATGAGAAATTGGCTTCTTTACTATTCTCAAGCAGTTCCCTGCTGCAAGAAGTGTTGTTGTTTTTTTAAAAGTTCCACCCATGAAATACGGCAAGCACAATAAATAAATCTATGCCATGCTGTATCAGGAGATGACTTTTATCCAGAAGGACATCCCACTCAGGGTGATGGAGAGAATGCGGTACAGAATTATAAGTGTCTCCTTGTTGCAGTTTTCCTTTTCTTGTGTGTATTGTATTGCATAACTCTTGCTTCTCAGAGACACACACTCCCAAAACAGAGTTACACTGCCCTGGTGTCAGAAAAGAGAAGAAGCAGACACAGCTCCACCATGC